AAACTTCACTATAGTAAAAAAGTAAATACAAAGGGTCATTTTATTTAGCAAGACTGAAAATAAAACTAAGACATAAATTCACACAAAACCTTTACTGTTGTCCAAAACAATTCCTCCAGCTATCAACTCAAGGCAATTACTCTAGCGGTATCATTTATAGAGTGATTAATAAAACAATAATAATTTCCCAGTTAGAAGGGGGTGGGGGAGTTGTCATTAAACCTTCAGGATTCTTTGAAGTAGAATTATTTTGACTATTCAATCACCAGCCTACACAAAAGCAGTAATAAAAGGGAATGGCAATACAAATACAAAATGATTGGCTATTACCTCTCTACAAGGAAATAACAGAGAGTGGAGACCTCTATTGGACAGAACTAAAGAAATAGTGGTTAAGTTTATAGACAAAGAGCAGTCACTAGCCAAGTAAAACTTGAAGGCATAAGTGAAGTCAGTAAATATGATCATCTTACTTTCACTATTTACTCTACAAATGGTAAAGCGATCTATGTTGAAAGATACAGACTTACTGAAATTAGTACAGATCATTTATAAAATTTCTACTCTTTTTAATCAATATAATGCTAAGATTCTTTCAGTGATTTCTTTTCTCCTCAACTTAACAGGATCATCAGATTCCTCTAAATCTACTTCATATTAGTCATATAAAAATTATTAACAAACTTTGGCTTCCTTGCAAACATTCCATCCTGTTAAAAAAGTGATTAAAAACAGTACTGAAAATGAATTACTTCTGCAAAATTTAATGAGTGAGAAACATTCAACCAAGGTGACTTTTCCTTGGAAAACCTTACAAAAATGGAATTTTATAAACAGTTGGTTATTTTGAAAGGAATGAGTTCCATTTATAAATAGCAGCCATGACTTTACTGCCTACAAAGCTGTAGACTGTCACAGTTTACATGTTTAGAATTCAAATGTTTTAAGATCAGATTTTCTAGACAGTATTAAAAAAAACAAAGACATGACAGACAGATGGATTAGTTGTCTCATGCTCAGGAAACAGTTAAATTCCATGATTTTACTTTTCAGGCAAGTACAGATAGCCTTTGGGTTTAAGACAGCGGGTACAACACTTATATCTTTGTGTTTGAGGAAGAATGACAGTAACACCAGTGGGCTGGGACCGTTACAGCAGGAGTTTACTCTGTTGAGGCTCTTTTGTGGTCAAAGTATCTCTAATGCAAATATCAGAGGATGTTTGTATTGTAGAGACTTTCAAGTTATGAACCTGAGCAAAACATGCTGTTCAGAGAGGTTGAGAGCCTACTGCAGTGAAGTAGTGTTTACTGAGATCCTGGCAGCAAGAAATTAGAGAAACAGACAAATATGCAAGCCAGGGATGTTGGACCTGCCAGATTACTCTCAACCAGTGACTAATGGCATTGAAATTGGAGGAATTGAGTGTATCTTAATAACGGACACCCAAGGTCGGCGCTTCAAGCTCACCAGCTGCTCCTCGGAAACCCTTTACAGGGTTGCTATGGGTTGGGATCCACTCGACGACACTTAACAACAACATACTGGTCTTGGGAGACTGCACACCTTTCTGCAAGAACTCTTGAACACATTGAAATTTGTCACTCCCAGGAACATGCTGATGCCTTCACAGTGTGACTAGGACCAGTGATCTGATAATTCAGAATCTCAGGAATTAGGACAGAGAAGGGCAATATTTGAAGAAAGGAGAGTTAATGGCCTGTACTTTTTTGGGGTAGGCTGAATGCTCCCCAAACTCCTGATGGGCTTGGTTGGTACCACTTAGGAGCAAGTTTGCCCAAGTTCTGGCTTGAGAAGAGGCCTTTCCATAGTCAGAAATACGGGAATGGGATCAAATATGAGGTGAAAGGACTATGCCAAAAAGTATCATTCATATTATTCACCTAGGGAAGAGGGGCAGAGTGGGTGTTTCAGAGGGCAGTTAATAAGGCAAAACCCTAAGCCTGAGCTGGCCATGGATAGTACCCATATGCTTGCAATTTAACTCTATTAGTTGCTACCCATTTAACACTGCTGTATACAATCCAAGGGCTAGAATGGCTTCTTCCCCCAGCACCCACTTCATGTTTGCCCTTCCATGCTCTGAATTTCCCAGTGAGGCTCAAAATTTCCCAAGTTGTAAGGAAAAAGAGACATTTTAAACTAATTTTGATGCAGCCATTCCAACCCAGGGATCTGGGCATGATGTTGGCATGCATTCAAATAGCTGTCTCTAGAGATATAACATTCAGTCTGTCCTGGTGTGGTCTCCTTGAGCCCTGGATGAAAAAAATCACATGCTACTTAGGGAAACAGCTCCCTTTTATCACTGTGTCAGACAAACCTAACTCCCAGCACAAATCATAGGCAGTAAGGCTAAGAAATCTCTTGGACGACCCTTATTCCTGTTACATACATGGATCAGAGCTCTCCAAGGTAGAATCTCTAAAAAAATAAAAAGACACTTGATCTTAAGGTACATACATAATTTGCCAAGCAGTTATAGCTAATAGATATGATTCCCCTTCAGCAGCTATTAAAGACACTTTGAGTTTTTGTTTTTGTCTTCTTGATGCGGACTGGAACTAGCAAACATATTAAGAGGGAAAAAAAACAATCACAGAATAGATGAAAAGTTTCAAAAAGAATTGTGTGGTGGTGCCCAAACACTGACCCTGGAAATGTAGTCAGAAACCACCATAATCCATAATAAAGCCCTAAGGCAAAAAATGTAGTATATAGAAAACCTTGCAAAACCCAGCACCAGCTCATCCTTCTGAGGGCTTGAGATAGCACGCCACTGAAAGAACTCATACATGTACGAACAGACAAAACTCAGGGAAGTCTAACATACCCGGCAGCTGTTTCTCCACAGCTGCACTGGCAAATGTACAAACACGTATTTTTGCTCAGTTTCCGAGCCTCACTCACAGACACCTCCCACCTTGGAGGCAGGGGTGAGAAAATTGGACCACATTTTCCCAAATAAAGGAAATCTAATCACCTGGAGGCAACATCCTACATCTCCCCCATTTCTTAATGATAACATCTCTAAGTAAGCCAACTTTAGAGGGTCATAATTAGTGCCTAGAGATCCAAGGTCAAACCTATGGTTCAAAAGTCTTATCTTATCAGAAGTTAAATAACCTATTCACCTGAATACAATTCCAAATCATAAATTGGCCACCCACTCCATTACCAGGAAGAGGAGTAGTTTTAAGTCCACTTCTTATTTTTTCACCACAGTACCCTGAAGAGAGTCAAAGACGGTCATGTGGGAGGGAGGGAGCATTCTGGTTCATCATTAAAAAATAAAGATTTTTCAAGTGTCACCTGAGGTTGTATAAAAACATTTTCAGTTTCCCTCAGTGGCCACCTCCAAGGGTTCCTCTTCTAAGCCAAGACTCAGCTTGTCAGCTAGCCCTTCAAACTGCTTGCTCAGGCTGCCTGCAGAGTCTACAAACATGTTAGGGATGTCTTTGCCAAAGTAAATCTTGCTGTTGGAAGCAATTGCCTTGTACTTCATCAGCTGCAGATATTCAGGGGTCAGCTTCAGCTGTTAAAAAAAAAAAAAAAAAGGAGAAAGATGACTTAGGTGGAGCCAGATTCAAGCAAACTTTGGATGTCACCCCTTCAATTTGTACAAAGAGAGGTTCTCCATCAGAAAAATATGCCCAGCCTCTATTTTTCCTGGTCTCACTGTTACATTACTAACAGAGCAATCCCTTCTTTCAGAGAATGTAATCTCAGATCTGCAAGGCAAGGGTTGTAAGTGTTATAAGTTCCATGTGTAACACAAAAATGAAACTTCTATTGAGACACTGTATGTTCCACATAGCATTGCTGTTGTTGTGAAGTGCTGTCAAGACTCATAGTGACCCTGTATAGAGTTCCCAAGGAGTAGCTGGTGAATTTGAACCGCTGAATTTAATATTCCAATGACAATTCAGTTCAGTGCTTATCCTACAGCGCCACAGCAGGGCTCATAGTCATAAACTCTGGCCATGATGGTGGTCATCCAACCCTGGGGACTCTCAAGCAATATAAAACAGGTTTTCAAACTAGTTCAGTCATGGACAACAAAGCAGATTTGAATATTTTAAATTTGGGTGGTCTGGAACACTAAGCACAATTGGAGAAATTGCAGGTCAATGCTATGGGGTGGGAGACTCAGAAGAGGCATGGTAAATCCTTTCAAGAGCCTGATGAAGGATAGTGGATTCTTGTCAGGACTATGGAGAGCAATACACATTCAAAGTCGTCTAGTCAGCCACCATCTTTGAGCCGAGTGCTGCAGTTGTCGACTCAGTTGGTCAGGAGATTTAGTTGTTAAGCAACATACATGCATGCTGCTCTTATTTTCTAAGAGGGAAATTACATTTGTAACAGAGCTTCAACCGTAATTTTTTCTATTCAGTTAGCATTTCTGGTTCAGTCATATTTGGGTCCATTCTGGTGTAGCTTCATTTGGCCATGATGGAATTAGGCTGAACCAGTTTGAAGTCTTGGTATAAATCAAAACCGAAACACACTTTCTCTTCAACAGGCTGGAATGGGTCTTTACCTTATTTGCTTCGGCTATTTTCATAGCAGTATAGCACTCAGCATCAGCCTTTGCCTTCTCCCGGGCCAGAAATGCAGCATCTGAGGGGGAAAGAATGCAATGAACTGGAGGACATACAGCACAGCATGATCTACAGGGGTTATCAGATGCTTTGGGGCCTGGTCAGTGTACATTTTCCCCTGATTGCCTCTGCAACCTTGAAAGAGGCTGCTTCCCTGATTTCCCCTCTCCCCCCAATCAATGGAACTGGGGGAAAAATGCCATTTTTCCTATTCTAAAAATTGTTGTAATGAAAGATGATAAAGTACTTTGAAGGAACCTCACTATGATGGGGACTAAATTAAGAGCAAGCCTGTGGCTATACCCTAAACGTACACTTTGATAGCATTATTGAGCAAAACAAAAACAACAATAACTGCAATTGTTTCCAGAGTCCTGGTATGGCGCTACAGGAGAAGCACTGGAAAGCTAATGACAAAAGTTGGTGGTTCCAACCCACCAGCCACTCCTTGTAGAGGGCTGCTATGAGTTGGAATCGACTCGACAGCACTTAACAACAACCTTGTTTTCACATGCCTACTTCTTTTATAACTTTGAGAAGCAAATGTGTAGGACCCTGTCTCAACCTTCAGTTCCTGAACTTACCACCTCATCTCTTCATGTTAATACAGCAAAAGCAAGTGAGGCCCCCAAGTCTCCAAATATGATCAGGAGCCATTTCATATAAAACACATCATCCATTCCCTTTCCAACTCTTTCCCTTTTATTTCCATTAATCCTTTCAAAATTAATACTGGTTACAGTGGTATAACTCTGATAAAGAATTACCAATCCTTGTTTGTATGAAAATCTATCTAAACTTCCACTATGTAAACAATCTGCTCCTGGACTAGCTTTCTGTTAAGTGAGTACAATGTTTATATTTCCTTCCCTGCCTTAGGAATATGGCCCCTCTCATGTGAGGAATGTTTGCAGCACTAAGTCTGGGAGGAAAGCTCTGTATCCTGGTGGGTTTTCACTGCAGGCCCTCAGCATGACCCTGAGCTGGAGTGAGACGGAGTGGGGGTGGGGTGGGGCAGGGGCTGTAGTCTGGTTGAGGATCTGGCTTTCATGCAGCTGATTCAACTGGCCTTACCACCTGGTGACATGTATTTATAAGAAATAAAAATGTGTCGTTCAGCTGAGAGTTCTCTAATGAGGAGCCAATGAGTTGTGAAATCCGAACTGGCTCCTAAAGGGGCCTCTGCAAAGCCTGACAAGCCTACTCATTCCTTGCTATCAAGGGGGGGGAACACACTGCACCCTGTCTTTGACTCCAGTGTCCCCACTTGTCACTTACCACCTATTGGGCTCTCTTTACCCACCACACCTTGCTTACCAGTGTGGAGCCCTTAGGGGTTGGGGGTGGTGGTAGTTGGGTGATTGCCCACTTCCTGCCCTGGGAAGGGCCCTGCTTATCCTCCACCATCTCCCACCTTGGAGACCCTGTTTGTCCTTTGTCCACCCCAGCCCTGCAAGGCCCCCTTCCCTCTCGCCCTCTTCCCATCTGCCCCACCGACTTTTCCAGCAACTTCAGGCCCTGGCCCAGTTTTTCCTTGCCTGCCTGAGACCTTGAGTTGTTCTCCTGTTCCCTCTATGGCTGGACACAGATGTTGCAAGTGAACAGAAGAATGTATCCTGTGGTCAATCAGCCACTGTCGTTTGTGTGGCCTGGTTATCACTAGGGTCTCTGGTATATCGTTCAGGGTGAACCATAAAGGGTACACTGGGTCCAGCTGCAGCCCCATGTGAGGTCAGAACCATCAGAGGTGCTTGACTTTTTTCAAAGTTGTGATGATAACGCAAAATGTTGGATAACGAGATAGTCTGTAAGTGAGGAGTAGGTGTAATGCACAAAGTGCTTTGAAGCTTGAAGCTGAGCCCCGAGGTCCTATTTTTGCCCTGCAATTTCTTTGACAAAGGTATCAGATGTCAAGTAGAGGGTCAGTGAAAAAGAGGAAGAGACTCAAGGCAATGGACTGACCCAATGGCGGCAACAATGGGCTCAAACGACGATTGTGAGGATGGCACACAACAGAGCAGTGTTTCTTTCTGTTATGTATAGCGTCTCTATAAGTCAGAATCGACTGAATGGCACCTAACAGGTATCACTTGAAGTAAAAGGTGGGTGGTGGGAATGAGGTGAGGGCTTAGGAGACGGGCACTGAAGGAGAATGGTATTCAGAAAAAAACCGCAAAGAAAATACTTCTTTTCAGCTCCAGTGGTAGAGCTGAAAAGGTGTCTTCTTCAAACCAGGCTGGTATCTGAGGAAGAGGGTGTGAGGCAGGAGAAGAGAGAACTGCTGTTTTGGCTAAGCTCTGCAGTTTACTTCCAATGTACCGGAGCCTCTGTTAGACTGTGAACACCAAGACCACAGGAACCAACTGATTTCCTTTTTCTCATGTCTAGCAAAGTGCCGAGCACATAATGGCACTCAACTAACATTTGTGGAATGAATGCATGTTCTCGGAAGTAAAACAAGGATGTCAACCTAGCCAAAATTTCCTCAGAACTCAAGTCTAAGCAGAGAGAAAAGGTGATGATCCAAAGAAATCATAACATTCTAAGATGCAGAATAAGGAGCAATGGAAACGACACTCCCACCCACTTGCCACAAAGTGGGTGGGGTCTGAGGAGAACTCAAGACATTTAACTTCACTTCTGCTCACCTTCAATTTCTGAAATCTTCTTCTCAGTCTCCTTCTCCATCACCTTTTGCCCATAGGTGATTTCTGCAACTTGAGCCACTTTTTCTGCCTCTGTATTAACAAGATTGAGAAAAGACTTAGAGCCCTGATGTTCTGAGTTTGACTCAATTTCACCTTTTACCTGATTTGCATAAAATGATACAAGAGAGAGTGGGTAAACTCAGATGTAGAGCCACTGCTCCCAGAGGGCAGTTGTGACAGCAAACCTGGGCAGAAACGGAATGTACCATGAGCACAGAATCACATTATCAGCACAAGGTAGTAGCTGAGAAGAACTGGGCCCAAGGGAGGAGAGTCATTCAGCCTCTAAGGAAGGCAAAAGCTCTAACCTCTCTGTTAAGCCATGAGGCAGAATATTTCTCCCAAAGGACTAGTTCAAGGATAAAATATTCTCTAGGAAGTTTCTAGAACTCACGTATAATGCTGGGGTTGGTGGTGATCCATGGGTGGCACACACAGTTTTCGCTAAACTAATAATGTAAAAGTTGATAGTCTGAATCTAGCCAGCAGTTATGGGGAAGAAACGCCTGGTGATCTACTTCTATAAAGATGACAGCCAAGAAAACCCTCTGGGGCAGTTCTACTCTGTCACACATGGGGTAACCATGAGTCAGAATTGACTTAATAGTAACACATTGGGTTTTGAATACATTTCTACCTGTCACTTCATTTTAGGAAGTAATCAAACTTCTTGTTGAAAGACAGTATTGCTTTTTTGTTTTGTTTTCTTCTATTTCTGCTGTTCCTTATTTAATCAGTGTAAACTGAAATTATAACAACTAAATAAATTCTTTCTATTACAAAAGAAATTACTTCTCCAGATTCTGATGTGGCGCTCTAGGATCAGCAATGGACCTTGAACCCCAAGGTCAGCAGTTCAAACCCACCAGCTACTCCTCTGAAAACCCTATCCAGGGCTGCTATGAATCAGATTCAACTCCACAGCACTTAAGAGTAACAACAAGAATCTAATCTGAGTTCTGCTGATTCCACCAATTAAGGATGTTGTGTAAACCATGATTCCTAAATCAAGAGAGGAGAGAGGTAGGTAGTAGGGCATCTACTTTGGTGGCATAGAATGAAAGACAGTATTGTTTTTAAGTACTGATGAGTCAGTTCTGACTTATAATGACCCTATATAGGGTTTCCAAGGAGTAGCTGGTGGGTTTGAACTACCAGCCTTGTGGTTAACAGTGCAGTGCTTATCCTACAGTGCTATTCTAGGACTCCTGAAAGACAGAATAGTTTATTGATTAAGAAAACAGCTTCTGGAACCCAATTTTATGGATTTGAACCCCAATTCTACCATTTACTTGCATTTAACCTCTCTGTGCATTGGTTCCCTCCTAGGTAAAATGTAACATGAGGTTAATGATAGCAACTAACTCACATGAAAGTTGTGAGTGGAGTTAACTCATATATTAAGCGCTCAGAAGAGAATAAGACTCATAGTAAGTGCTCACTAGTATGAGTCATTATCATAAATTTAGAATCCAATGGACTCCTTTCATTTAAGAGATATGTGAAAACTCAAAACTCATTATCCTTACTATGACCTGATAATTTCAGCTTTGCTTTTTCGAGTGTGAATGCACTCCTGTGTTGTGTAACAGGGTTTTGGAAGACTATGTGGTCTAACCGTGCTTGAGCCCTCCTTGTATCTTCCCACCATCCCCAGTCCTTCAGCCCTGGAAGAGGGATCACAGAACCACATTCAGACCAATGAGGGCCTTCTTCCGCTCTGTCTCAGCTTCCTTCTCCACCACCTTCTGTTTCTGGGCTGCAATGAGAAGCTTTGTCTTCTCGCTTTCCCTAAGGGGAAAAAAGTGTGCAGTTGTGAGACTGCTTTGTCAAAGCTCCGAAAGGAACCTCAGTGTTCCCTGGAGAAATCACACCCATCTGATGAGATTTCTTACTCTTTCCTGAAAGGCCATTCAACTTCCTAGACAAATGCTAATCTGTTGCAGACATTAACATGGCTTTTCTCCTTTCCCCAAGTAACTCATTTGTGAGAAATAAAACATAATTTACTTTAGTAAAATATACCTGCCTGTCCACTTAATCTTCTTTTGTGCTTATCTCCTCTTTTGGCATGAGCCATTAAATACAAACAAGGCCTTCTGGCCCTTTTTGTAAAAAAAGTATTGTTGCTCATAGGGCTTCTCCTGTGGTCCTCAATCACAGTTAAGGTACCAAGGGATTGGCCTGACATGCCTGCTCCATTTTACAGTGCACCAGACTGTAACACACACTCAAGAAAGGGAATAAAAGCCTGACACAGCTTCTATTAAACCTAGGATGGGATGAGGTGGGAGATATGAGCAAGAGGTGGTGATAGTGTCAGCCCAGAGTATACTCACATCAACTCATAGTTTCTGCGGATTGCCTCAGGAATATTGGGCTTTGTCACTCGCACAGCCTGGAGAAGGATAGAAATAACCACTGATGAGAAATGAGAAGGTCAGGGTGGTGAGGGACATGAAGCAGCTTCTGTGGGTCCTGACCTTCCTGGAGGAAAAGGAAGAGGGGATGAACATCATCAGGGGCCTCTCCCATGGCGGCAATGCTTACTTGGATGACAAGCCCAGGAGCCATGGAGGTTAGGTCCTGTTGCAAAGCCAGTTTGAGATTTTCATCAATCTGATCTGGAATCAAGGACACAGAAAAATGAGTTGTTACACTTTCCAGACAGCGTGGAGGGGAGGATGGGATAGCTAAAACACCAGCTCAGGAATGTGTCTAAAGGCAAAGGGTCTTCCCAAGGTAGTGTGCTTATCAGTGTTCAGAAAGCTAAAGGCCCCTGAAAGATTTGGAAGAGTGTGCCTAAGCCCCTCTACCTAAACCAGATGTAAGAGGATCCTTTTCCTTTGGCCTCAAGATAAAAATCACTCTTATTATCGTAAACATGTTAATATCAGTATCTGTCTTGTCTTATTGGGAAACAGAGCTTTTCAGAAAAGAAAAAAAAGATCAAACAATAATTCTAGCACATTTCCAGAGTGAGGCAACAGACTTTCCCTAGATGATAGCAGCAAAGAGAAGGAAAGCTAACAGCTTTCATGGGAGGAAGAAGGTGGGATAGCTATGTTAGGTATTTTAAAAAGAGCTGAGCACATTAAGTCTAGTAATTTTAGAAGCTTCTTAAAAGAAAAACAGACTCTGACATGGAAAGCCCCAAGGAAGATTGTTTTCATTAGGAACTCCATCAAACAACACAAGAAGAAAATTTAAATTTACAGCTCTGGATGCAAGCCCAACTCTTTTGATGTGTTATTTGCTTTGGTCCTGATTCCTTTGTCTGGAATTCACATGTGAGTCATTTCAGAGACAAGTGTAGGAACAACTTAGCTGGTTTTTCCTTCTGGTTCTAGCTGTGATCCTGCAACACAGCACCAAACCTATCTTCTCTGACCTGGTCCTTCTCAGGGAGGTATAGATCTTATTCCTGTCACCTGTCCATAAGATCCTCAATCACACCCTGAAAGGGCACTGAGACAGAGCCCATGAAACCAAATTGAATCGTCAACTGCCATAGATTTTAAGTGGCCATTCTTGGTCACCTATGCCCACACGACAGCCTCTGAGAAACAGCAAGTCTACCTTCTCTCTTTAACAGATGCCAAAACTGAGGCTCACCGAGGTTGAGTGATATGCTTAAGTCCACAAAGCTAGACAATAAACTTATTTAATTAGTATGTTTTGATTGTTAGGATTTAGAAATGGTACTTCCTTCAACTGTCATATAAGCAGTTAAGAGATTTTAATGCTTCTATAGACTGGATTCTGATGATCTTCAAAATTTTTAACACAATGCAAAAGGTTGCTTTCTTAACTATTAAAAAACAAAACAAAAAACTCCAAACCAAAACTCATTGCCATTGAGCTGATTCTAACTCACAGCGACACTACAGGACAGAGCAGAGCAGAGCAGAGCAGTTCCTTAGGGTTTCTAAGACTTAAACTAGAAATGTTCCCTGAAGCCTTCTTTAAAATCAAACAATACCCACTGCCACCAAGTTGATCCTCTCATTGACTCATAGTGACTCTCTATGACAGAGCAGACAATCTCATCTTCCTCTCTCATATGGACTAGTGGGTTTGAACTGCCGACCTAGCTGTTAGCTTTCCAATGCTTAACCTACAGCACCACCAAGGCTCCTAAACCAAACAACAGTTTAAGTTACCTAGTAAAGAATATCTGCTTTGCGTACTAATTATGCTTTTTTAAAGATCTATCTATATGGGATCAAACTGATAATCAGAGTTTGGCAGATTGGATACAAAACGTAGAGGAAGGAATAACTCAGAAAAGGAGAGTGCGGATGCTTGTACACCTTGAAGATGTAATCAGTGTCACTGACTTATACATGCAGAAACTTGAATCAGTGTATGTTTTTGCTGTGTATAGTGTCTCAACAACAAAAAATAATTAAGAACCAACAAGCAAACAACAAAGTAATCTTGGTTAAAATTCATTTTCTTTTAGCAATGACGACTATAAAATTCCTAGCAGCAAGTTTAAACAAAACAATTGACCACAAAAGAACTGTGACAGTCACTGAAACGTTCCCTTCCAGCACTGTTGGATTTATGATGTTTACTTTGATAACTAACTAGCTCTGTGGCTCAGGAAAATCACCTTCCCTCTTAGAGTCTCAGTACCTTACCTTAAAACAAGGATGTTGGGCTGGATAATCTCTAAGGTTCTTCTAGAATTAATCCCAATTATAGAACAGTAATTTAGGAACAGACAGTAGGAATTTCCACTGGAATTCTTGATTCGGACCACAGCCAGAACTCTATTCCTTTTATCATTCAGGTGCCCAGAGCTCAATCGCTCTAATGTACCTTCTCCCATTGTCATTACCATTTCTGAGGCATTCCCTTTGTTACCAGTGCCTGAGCACTGTATCCCTATTCATGAGGAACCATCCTGCAGTATTCCTCCTAGCCCACACAGCTCAGAACTAAGCAGTCAGGAGAAGCAGAGCTACAAAGCATGATCAGAACAGACTTTCTTACCAAACAGCTCAATGTAGACCTCTTGAAGTGTATGGACGCTACAGAACTGGTTCAGTTCATGGTGGATCTTATTGAAGATGAGAGCCTTGTCATAGTCTGCAGTGTAGTTCTTCACTATGTCATACACTGGGGAGGGAAGGAGAGATATCAAATAAGAAAAGGCACGACATAAAACTTTCTCAGACACGTTAGTTCTCCCTTCCCAGAGAGAGGGATGGCATGCCAGGGAAAGTTAGGTGGCAGGGAGGGTAAAGTGGAAACATTTACCTGCATTAGGGACCAGGAAGTTTACCACTTCAATTCTGTCAAAGTAGATCATCACACCACCACTATTGGAGAGAGAATAGACCAAAAAATCATCACTAGTTCTGGATTATAGCATAGTCTCGTAAGATAATGGTATCAGACATATGACTTAGCAGAAACATAGGGAAGTTAGGAAGCAACTCACGTTTCCAAGTAGAGCTTTAGAGCTCATATATAAAAACCACCTCCCAAGAAACCACACCTCCTGAAAATATCTCCATGGAGAAAAAAATGAGACTTCTAGAGTGCCAGGAAGAAAAGAGTTCTTTTTCTTTCAGACAATGTCTTTGATTAAAGCAATCAATTATAAGGAAAACACACATACAGAGCAGGAGGCCAAGTAGTTCTCAGACATTAAAAGTTCACTGTAGACTTTTCTAATTAATGATCATCACTGCCTTTGTTTATGTCTCTTAAATTTCTTTTCATCCACAAAATTCTTTCTAAAGCCTATTTAGCACAATTAAACCTAGCAATTTTAGAAGTTTTAAAAAGAAAAACAGAGTCTGACATACAATAAAATGTCTGTGTGAAGAGATTAGACTGCTTATCTTGTGGGATGTCCCAATCTGAATTTGTCTAAGTGTTTGCTGTTGGTGCTCTTTTCCTTGTTACTTTATCCCAGTTTGTTGTTGTTGTTAAGTGCCATCAATTCTGACCCATAGCGACCCTGCATAGGGTTTCCAAGGAGCCGCTGGTGAGCTTGAACCACCGACCTTGCAATTCATATGACTTTGCAGTCTGACACATTAGCCCACATCGCCACAGCAGGACTCCCTACCCCAGTGTAGACCCTTTTTATTTTTCCACTGGCCCACAATAGTGTTCTCTTTGGATCTCCTGCCTTTCAGGTGTTCCCAGCACCTTTAAGACATTCTCCATTGTTATGCTAAAGTTATCTCTCTAAAGCACTGCTCTTTCATATCAACTATCTGCTGAAAACCTTTACTGAGTCCTCACTCCTCTTAGTAGTATGATGAAATTTGCAAAGAGCTGGAGTTAGAAAACTCAAAGAAGGTGTAATCAAAGCATTCCAGGATAAACAGAAGCTAAGGGATTTTGCCAAAG